TTGAAGGTGTTCGAGAGGATATTGGAGGTGGCCGCTGAGAGTAATGGAGCGGCTTTGGGGATGGTTTCTTGTCGGTTGTTGGCGGAGGTTAAGCAAGCTGGGGGTGTTATAGGAAAAGGAGGCAAAGTAGTTGAGAAGATAAGAGAGGATACTGGGAGCAAAATTAGGATTTTGACTGATAAGCTACCGGCTTGTGCCAGCGCTACGGAGGAGATTGTGGAGGTATTGAGTACTTTAATTAGGGTTTCTATTCCTTGGTCTTGGGGTTTGTTGACTTCATAATTACTTCTAAAAATGTTGATTTTCTTTCACACTATCTGTTATATTTTTAATTTTCCTAGTTCAGGTGAGCATTTAAGCAGCTCAGGAAATTTTCTATATTTGAAAACCTAGGATACATTAGTTGTATGGTACTTTTTAGACAGATTTGGTTTATTAGGCTGTTGATAACAAGTAATATGTGGCCGCCTTATCATGGTAATTATTTATGGATTTTTATTGTCAGTCAATGAATTAAACCAGTAGCACTGAATCACTGTACTTAATATGAAAATATTCTGAAAGTGGGAAACTTCCAAAGCGTTTGCCCATTATTGTTATTATTTTCTTTTTGTTATTCACGAAAAGAAATATTCATTGTTGTTCCTCTGTATATTTTGTAGATTGAAGGGTCTGTTTTAGCTGTAAAGAAAGCGCTTGTTGCTGTCTCATACCGCCTCCAAGATTGTCCTTCTGTCAATAAAACAAGGGTAAGCGAAAACAAGAGCACTGGACCAGTTCAACCAGAGACTTTACGCAGACCTATTGAGGTAGTTCCTCAGAAGTCTTTGCGCAGACCTATTGACTTGCACACTGAGGATCATTTCCTCAGAGCTATGGAGGCACTTCCTCGAGAGACTTTTCATGGACCTATGGAGGTGGTCACCCATGACCCATTGCACAGATCGATTGGTGTTCTTCCTCAAGAATCATTTCATAGACATATTGAGGTTTCACATGAGGATTTACCTGATTTTGGAGTAGATCATCTTTCACGGCGTAGTTTCCTGGTACCTAGTGTACCCAGTGGCTCTACCAGTTATGCCAGCAGATTTCATCCTTTGTCTCGGGAGTCCGAGAACGCCTCTCCTTTGCATACTAAAACATTGCAGCAGGAAGTGGTTTTCAAAATTCTTTGCCTCAATGATAGGGTTGGGGGTGTTATTGGAAAGGGAGGTGCAACTATTAAAGCCCTTCAAAGTGATACAGGAGCTGCTGTTGCCATTGGAGCTACATTCACTGATTGTGATGAACGGTTGGTTACTGTTACTGCATCAGAGGTCAGTCATGTTCTGATCTTCTATGACATTATACATTTGCTTAAAGTTTTTTTTTTCGCTGTCACTGATATGCCCTCATTGACTTGATATCTTTTAGGACCCGGAATCACAATATTCTCCGGCACAAAAGGCTGTTGTCCTTGTTTTTGTAAGAGCTTATGAGGCTTCCATTGAAAAAGATCTAGATTCAGGCTCAGGTAAGGGTTCAAATGTCACTGCCCGGCTCGTAGTTCCTTCAAGCCAAGTTGGTTGTTTGTTGGGAAAAGGAGGGGCAACAATTTCTGAAATGCGTAAAGTGACTGGTACCAGCATTTGGATTTTGGGAACTGACCAGGTCCCCAAGTGTGTCAGTGGAAGTGATCAAGTGGTACAGGTGCGCTGGAGCTTTGGTTAATTATTATATATAGGCTTACTGATATAAAACAAGCTTCTTTTTTAAGAAATTTTTACAAAAAAGCGATAAAATTTTTTGCTTTCCAAACTTTCAATTGAAGAGTTATCTCCTAGAAATTTGAACAAACGATTCTAATACTGTAGCTGTTGGAGTTAAAAGGAATCCATGACAACATGATTTGTTTATAATATAAATTGTCCGAAAAACATTTCATGTTATGAATTATGACAACAGTTATTATAACCAGTTTCCTCTCTGTTCCAACTTATTCTGATTTTGGCCCAGGAAAGACCTATATTTCCTTAATGCAAATGCATTTACACTTATTCTATTACTCTTATTGTGAGAGATTTTGAAAAATTATATGATTCTGGCCTTTCATAAGGCATGAGTTGCTTAATTGTTGGTATTTTTTTTTAAACAGATTCAAGGAGGGTATATGAATGTAAAAGATGCTATGTATCATGTGACTGGTAAACTAAGAGATAACCTATTTTCCATCTCACTGAAAACTGCCGAAGCAAAAAGCAGTTCCTCGGTTTTAATCGAGACCAGTCCTTACGAAAGACTGTTGGATAATTCCCCTCTTGAGTTGCAAGCATCAAGCGGCTTTTCTCATAGTCTTAGTCGGCATACTTCATTGGCGACGGATAGCACAAATCCCTATGGACATTCCTATAGCTCAGATCTCTCCCTCGTTCTGAAGGATTGTGGACGTCAGAGGTAGGCTTCTTTCCATTCTCCTAGATGAGTGTGTACATATTTGAACCTTAGTCTCACATATGAAGATGAACATATGTGCTTTAATTGAATTGTTGAATAGTTCTACTTAACTGTAGCTGGATTTTAATTGCAGACGTCTACTGGATTGAATCCAAGGGGCATCACAGATGGTGGAAGAGGATTGACTTCATTTAGAGGTGGACTAGAACTTGGCAGGTTGGTAGCTTACTGAAAAATTTGTATGCTGGAAAAATAATAAGTTAGGCTCAGTAATTGACGTTGATCTTCTATTGCCATACTTAGTGGTGTTATATGAGGCCTAATATAAGTAATGGTCCTTTCTTCTTTTGTTTGCAGTGGAAACAGATCTGCTATTGTAACAAATACAACCGTAGAGATTAGAGTTCCTGAGAATGTTATCGACTCTGTTTATGGGGAGAATGGTCGCAATCTAGCTCGTTTAAGAGAGGTAATTATTTTTTTCCCAACTATTCATGCACTATTTTATTGGCATTGTTGAAAAAAAATAGTATTTAGTTGGTTAGAGTTGTTCTGCTCCTAATTCTACAAAGAATTATGCAAAAACCATCTAAGCAAATCAACTCTTGATAGAACTTAATGAAGAACATAAGACAGCACAACCTGAAAAGCAGAAATCAAACCACATGACTGTGAGACTAAAAGGGCAATCAAAGCTAAAATGTAGCCATTACGGAAACAATTTAAGAACATAATCCAAAGTCTTAACTAAAAATAGCATGTTCAAATTCTGAAATGTACAACAGTTAAAAACAAGCCTTGTACCTTGAATTCTACAATAACAAAAACAAAATCAGAACTCTCAATATGTTTGAAAGCTCACAATGAATTTGGTGCATCTTTTGGGTTATCAGTTTATCATGCATGCAAAAAAAGAAGAATTAGCAAATTAAAAGAACAAAAAAATTGAAGTATCTTCCCTAACCTTGATACCATTATTGATATCAATATACAATATCTATGAGATATCAGATATCTAATCTTAAATCAACATCAACTTTTCCTTTGGTGTACATCGATCAGATCTCTGGTGCCAAGGTCATAGTGCATGAACCTCAAATAGGAACAAGTGACAGGATTGTTGTTATATCTGGGACACCCGATCAAACCCAGGCGGCTCAGAGCCTCCTACAAGCATTCATCCTCACTGGTCGCTGAAATTTTTAATTTAAACCTAATGTTTTTCACAAAAGGAGAAGAAAAACTTGAAGTTGTTACCTACTTAACTGCTTTTTCTCCTTTTTATTTTTCAAGCAGTGTACCCTAGTCTATCCATCTATGCAAACCCTGTTCATCGGGACAATAATTTGGTTCTAATCGTTTACAAAACATTCTGTAGCGAATGTCTTATGGAGATCACTATTTTCTATCATATACTTCTACTGTCTAGTTTTGAGTTTCTTTTATAATAACTGATAAGAATTTATATTTACCATGGTTGGTTGGCTTGGTGATGAGGGTCCATGACCTCTTATGTTGTTATTTTCACCCACAAAGGCCTCATTTTAAGCTATGTTCTTGCTACCCTATTACATTCTCACAATTCAAAAGTGCAATTCAATTGAATATTCTATTACAATTTTAGTAGTAGGTGTCTGACATATAAGCACCCAAAAGGATATGATTCACACGTTCTTATATCGTTCTCTTGGAAATATTGTGATGGAACTCTTTAGTTGAAAATAAACCCTTAGGTTGGAGTACATATAAAATAAGTAGATGTTTTTGATCAAGTTGTTCATATGATGGATTTTTTCAAGAAAATTTTATGCTATGAAGTTCGGACTTTTATGTTGTGCTAAAAATTTATCCTGCATTGATATGTTTTTAGTATCGAAGATGTGTTTTCCGCCAGAACTTGTAGTACGTATTAGTAAACATCAATACTGATATTTCTTTGAATGATTGATCTCTTCTAGTGAAGATTTAGATTACCCTTACCTTGTGCATAGACAATAATTGGCATCTCAGGTAATTGATATTCTCTCTCAAGTATTTCAATTTTATCCTAAATAGAAAGATGTCAGCTCCTGACTCTATTAAAATACCTTTTAATTTTTTTTATACTTATAATGTGTCGTTATTCGAACTATTCATTTTTATTAAAAATACCCGTGTTCTTGACATATTTGTACACAGGGAAGGTATAAGAACTTCATTATAGATAACAGAGCATCTGCCTGTATCCACACTAATGCTGAAGTCTAGATAACATAATTGGAATTTGGAGGTCCATCAAACATTTCATTACACAAATAGTGGTAACTCACTCCCCATAAATCCGCTCTCCTTTGTTGAGATTTGAATTCGGAAACTTTAAATAAAAAACTGGAGCTTTGACATTTATGAAACACCCTCATGCATTCATCCCCACTTGCCCTTCACGAGGATATTTTTCCGTTCAAACCTAAAATGTTTGCCCAATTGAAAATTTTTCATTTCATTTCTTTCTCCTTTGGCTTATAGTTGTCCACTCATGTGCAGTTTATGCCATTAAAAGCAAATAATGGATGAAGACATCAAACTTTGAACATAACCAAAAGAAAACACATACAAATCTAGGTATACACACACCGGAAATCTTATAGAAGAGTATTCAAAAGTACATGTACTTATGCTGAAACAAGATTTAAAACACGATTAACATTAAAAAAGAATACATAGAATATCCATCAAACTTTTGCTGCAAAACCATAATTGCAATTTATTTTTTTAGAACTGCATTAGTTGCTGCTCTAGGCTGGAGTAGCTTTGAGTGTAATTTCCACTTTGTCATGAACTCCTTGGAGCAATAATTCACCATCATATGTAACAACTTTTCGTTTCTTTGCTGCTCTTAGTGTCCCAACTAGTGCTTCAAAGATGTTTGCGCATCGATCATCATTAAATAACACCCCAAATGTGACCTTGAACACATCACAAACGGATATTATATAGTTTTGCTGGAAAACAGAAATAGTTTGTAGCAACATAAATGTCAAAAAACTGAAATGGGGAAACCCCAAATCATGGAACTTTGGCATTGCAGTGTCAGATGATGTGAACATGCCTAAAACAACGTCAAGTATGTCAATTTTAACCCTTTAAAAAAGCCTATAAGATTCTTAAAACAAGAAGGGTACCAATCATCATCAAACTTCAAATCTCAATGCAATGTATATGCCATGGTGAATTGATATAGGTGTTTTACAGTAGCCATCTATGATATTCACAAGGAGATTAAGATAAGAATATTGGATATAAATACTTTCCATAAGATTTTCGAAGCTTATTTACTTGAATTTAGAAGAAATCAACAGATGGAATAACGGAATTATATTAGCTCGTGAACTACAAAAAAAAAATTGTATATTTCATTGGTTTTGCAGAATGGATCGAGTAGAACAAAGATTGCCACTGATTCTACAATAGGAAACGGGGAACTGTTTCGATTTCGGACTAGTCCTAGGCGAATCCAACCGGACAGTGAAATTTGTAACAAGCTTGATGAACATGTTAGTTTGAATGTTGATCATACATATATTATTAATAAATGTTTCAGCAGTTTTCCTTCCCAAACTACACTACTTGAATCAATATAAAAAATTATAAACAGATTTGTCAGTCGTATTAGCTAGATCAGCTTTTAGAGGAAAAATGGGACAAACAAAAAGGAGAGCTTGAACCAGATCCAGATAAAAGAAATGGTGAAAGTTATGCATAAAAAGAAAAACCCAGATGAGATATAATAAAGAAAAGATCGAAAAATGGAACCTTGTAAGAACCATCAGGTTGGATCTGGCCAAGTCTCTGGATTTCTTCCTTGAGTCGCTCCACCTCTTCTTCTACATTCATTGTGTTTTTCCTTCTTTCTTGAATGACAAAAATACTACATGTAAATGTATGAGCTTCTTCTATTTGGCATTTTATAGGAAATTTCCTCAGAGGAGGTAAAGATGTAGGGTAATCATGTTTACGTTAAAATAACCAACGGGAGAGATAATTGTGTATTTTTTTTTTTTTGGGATAAGAATTTTGTAAAGAGGGCTCATCCCATTGGTTGGGGCCCAGCATGTGTCAGAAAAAGGAAATTATTCTCTACGGTATATGCCCAATCATTATATGACCGTCCCACCAATGACCTTTTTTCTCTTCGTCTCACCTTGATTTCAGTACTTCCATTTTGGCGCACTGTTAAAAATAGCCCTAAATGTTTATCACAATAGTCATTCTTACTCATATTTTTCTTTTTAGAGCATTTTGACCCTTAATGTTTTATTTTGAGGTAAAAAAGTCTCTCCATAGGTGAAAACCTATTGTTAATAAACGGTTAATATTCCAAAATAAAGGCATTTTTAACCTAAAATTAAACATTGAGAGTCAAAATGTTCCAGGTAAAAAGAATAAGGATCAAAGTAATTATTCAGTAGAGTCTTTGCCTTATAATGAGTCAAAGTAACTATTTGGTAGAGTCTATTTGCCTTATAATGAAATGTTAGGGTTGAAATGATCATTTTTGATAAATTTCAGGGGTTAATTTTCGCATTATACCTTTCATTGAGAACAAATTTATCTTTTATTTTCTAATAATAGTTTTTAAGATATACACGCACGCAGGCGTCTAATTTTGTAAGAAAAATATATATATGGAAAACTAAATGTATGATGGCTTAAAATATAATTCAAAACATTTTAAATATATTTTTCCGTAAAATAAAAAGAATGCATAATTTTTTAAAATTTTATTTTTTTCCCACAAACTTAATGAAATAAGGTAAAGAAATTACTGTGCTTTGTAAGAAAATTTTAACATTTCTTTACATATAGTTTTTCATAATTTTCAGTTAAGTTCAATTATATATTAAAATAAAGAAATATTTTATGTAAAAGAATATGTTTGAATTAATAAATAAATTAACAAATAATTATTGGTGGAGTGTTTAAAAGTTTAGTTTTGATATGCATTCGGATCTCGTATAATTAGTTATATTCATATAATTTAAAGATTTATGAAAAATATAAAAAGATAAAAGATATTATTATAAAATATTTAGTATACTGTAAGAGTAAGTATATAATCTGTTAATTTTATTAAAATTAAAAAATATTCAAAAGATAACGAGGGTTTATTATTATAATCGTAAATTAACTATACAATAAGGATATTTTTCATATAATCATGGTATTATTATAATCATAAACTAAATATATGATATTTTCATATAATCATTAATATAATTAACTAGTCATTTAATATCACACAAGGATCATATAAAGAAAAATGTAAAAAAATTTAATCAAATAAATTTGAATAAAACATATATACGAATAGATTTAATCATATTGGTAAACAAATCGCAAAAGGAGATCAAACTATAGAAAAACTATCTAAGAACGCAAATCATGTATCCAAACTGAATTCGAGGTCTAAAGTAGAAAAGATCAACATGATAACAAATGAACGTCGTCTTGATTAGTCGTGACAAATAGGGTGAGAAAATTTACCTGTAACTGTTAACTGTAACAGTTAGCCGGTGTAACCGTCACATTTTACATGTTAATTAACTGAACTGTTAAGATTAAACGGTTTCGATTAACCAAACCGTTAAAATAAAGATTAATGGTCACGGTTATGGTTACAAATTTTGATAAAATGGTTAACCGTTATTAAATTATAAATATAAATTTTAAAGATCGCTTTACAAATCCTAGTAAAAATTGATGGTTGATTTTATAATTAACTATATTTTCTTTAAAGCAATTCTATGTCAAATTAATTTAAGAGACTCGTTCTTTTATTTTTCTTTCTTGGTTTATTTATTATATATATATATATAACAAACTATCATCCTAATTATTTATGCTGACAAATTCAACTTGCAAATTGAGAGCTACAAATTGAATTAGGGGTGCTGCAAATTGAGTTACAACTGTTACGAAAAGGTAAGTTCAAAATTTCAAACTACTTTATTATTATCGATATTTTATTTTTAATTATTTATTAAATTTAAAAATATATATTTTATATTTTAGTTGACAAGAAAAACAATAAAACACATTAAAAAGAAAAAATCTTGCTTCAAGATTGATAAGAATAATTTCATTTCGGAGGAAGTCAATGAAGACCTTGGGTATCGGTGATTTTATATTAAATTTAATTTTTTGTGGCTTGTGGTACTACATCATAGAAGTTATCATGTTTATTTTATGTTTAGTAAAGATTTATATTTTAAACTTTGATTGTGTTTTGGACTATTGTTAATTGATATGTGCTTAAATTTACAGTATGATTAATTACATATTTTGTGTGTGTTGGAACTTTAAACTAATATAAAAATATGCAAATGTAGTATGTATATGTATCAAGTACTATGTAGTGTCAATATGTATTTCTTTAAAAAATTAAGAAGTAAAAATGTGAAAAAAATTGTAATAGGTTACAGGTTAACTTGTGTAACCGAACCCTTAGCAACGGTTAACTGTTATCGGTTAACCGTTTCTTAATGGTTAGTAAAATTCAGTAATCATTATAACAATTAACCAAACTATTTAGACTAAACGGTACGGTTAACCGACTGCGAACACATGTCAAATCTAACTATGAGAAAAAATATAAACAAAAATAATGACCGAAACCTTTTCAAAAGATAGAAAAAACGTCATAAAGACAAAATTATTAAAAATCAAAATAAATATATGATATATAAAAAAAATAATGACTATCGACAAAATATTGCTAAAAGATTTTAATAATGAGTATAAATCATCACTTATATTTTTATAATATATTGCTTTATAATCATTTATATGAATAATTAATTGACTTGATAGAGAATACTAGCATATATTGTACATTCATTTATGATGAATATTGTAAAAAGATATAAAAACTATAATCATTTATAGATAATAATCTCTTATCTTAGTCATTAAAATAAGGATTTATTTTTTACGATTAAAAACTCAAACGGCAAACTTTCCGATAAGGCAACAATTCCAAATATCACCAGATGCGCGTAGGTCACAAATAGGGATGGCATAAAAACTCGAATCCGACGGGAAAAATTGAAAATCGAATTAAACGGGTCGGGTTCAGGGATGATAAACGGGGACGGGGACAAGGACGGGTTTGGTAATCTCCGCACCGATTACCCGTCCCGATAAATATTAAAAATAATTATTTTATATATATTATATATAATATTAATAAATTTAATTTAAATTAATATATATATATATATTATATTTAATTTAAATATATATACCCGGACCGATACCCATTTAAATAACCGTTTATGCTAAACGGAAATACCCGTTTCCCCGCGGTTTTTCCCGATTACCCGATGGGAATCCCCGTTTAAATCCCCACGATTTTTTAAACAGAGATGGATACAAATTTTTTAAACGAAGACGAAAACCAATACCCGGCCCGTTGCTATCCCTAGTCACAAAACCAATCCCTAAATGTGTTGATATAAGAGGACGCAGATCTAGAAATATTATACTACGCCGTCATAGCTTTCATTAAATTTTAAATTTTTATTTTTTAAAAAAATAGAGTTAATTTCCTTTGGACAAATTATAAGTTTATTATCTAAATTATTATTTTTATTCTATTTTGATACTTAAATTTTATTTTTTTTAAAACCATATTTAACATTTAATATAGATTTCATTTTGATATCTCATTGTTAAAAACTTAACGTGATATTGACGTCACTGAAAAATAATGCCACATCATCATCGGAAAAAATAAAAAATACCACATCAGTAATATTCTTTTAACGACACGTATCAAATTGAAACTTAAACTAAATATTAACTATGATTTTGAAAAGAAAAAAGTTCGGGTACTCCTTGCTCACGTCAACAACTATGATAGAAAAAAAAATAAAAATAAGGGATTGCAGAAAGAATAGTTAGAGAGGTAAAAACCATTGTTTTTGACCCCCCCTAAAAAACAGGGTTTTCACACCCATTGTTCTTCCTGTAACTATAAACAACGCAATTATAACGCTATTTATGATAGCCGACTTGCAGACATATAATGATGATGGTAAAATCAACATAATGATTCACCGACTTCGGTCGGAGGGGACTTCGAGGGAGAAACTATACTGAGCAATCAAATGAATATAATGCCTCTGGATTTGATGAAACTTGAACCAAAATGCACGCTTACATATTCATTCATCTTAGAAATCAAAGGTCGGATAGAGGCCCGGCATGTAACTACCCCCATTTCCATTTGAATCGGTATTACCGTATGAGTGCGTCGATAGTTCACCGGAGTGAGATGACTTGCGAGACGTTGGGTTTTTAGGAGAAGCCATATAGGAGTCGTTTGAACCACTAGTGGAATAAATTGATGATGGTAGTCCATGAATCTTTGGCAGGCCAGTCGGATCAGAAGCCAAACTGTATCCACCCCTCTCAACTGTTTCAGCTTCCAATGGCAATTCGTCCAATGTCTATCCAAAAGGATTTTAAAAAAGTATCAAAAACAAAACCGATAAACATTGCTCCATGCGTAAGGTAATTGATGACATATTTTCATGCATGTAGGCATGGAAAAAGACATTTGTCATTTGTTCTTTCGACAAACAAATGAAAACTTGTGATCGCTGTAGAGATTATGATACGATGATATGCAGTAAAGAGAACGTACCCTGAATGCCTGTTGAAGAACTCGGAGTGTTTCTCGAGTACGTTTTCTCTTAGAAGCTATCTCATCAGGTTCCTGTAACATTTCTTCAAACAGGTTCTCTCTGTTTTTGGATCATAAAGACGTACAGAATGCTCCACAGTCAAACAATGCCATAATCAAAAAGTACAAATAATTTTAATCAAGCCAATACGCAGAGCTCTGCATCACCTGTAAAGCTTTTTGATAAAGATATTGTGAAG